ATAATCTTCATAGAAGATCTACATAGCAATAAAATTGACTTCCTATTCTACCAATTAAATCTATCTAAAATTTTACCTGTCACAATGTGTAATTATATATAGTAGCTTTTCTTCAATTAGAATTTTAAAGAAACATTTAAAAAAGAAATATCCTACTAAATACCAATGTAAATTTATTTAAACAATCTTAAATTTTCAACAAATGCATTTATATAATCATAAAAAAAACTTTGAAAAAAGTAAAGATTTTATTGATTGGATAGTAATGAATATGCAATCATTTTCAGTAGTTGAGGATGAATATTTTATTAAAATGATTAAAAAATTTGATCAACGTTATCATATACCAAATAGTTAATATATTAAAAAGTAAGTTATTATTAAATTTAATAATTAATGGAAAATTTTGAAGTATGAAATTGAAAAAATTAAAAGTTGAATATCTTTAATCACTAATATATAGACTTCTGATAATAATTATACTGCATTTTTTATAGTAACCTATTATTATATTGATAATAATTGAATGCTTAGACATTTTTTACTTGATATAATATCATTTCATGAATCACACTCTGGTAAAAATATGATATAAACCTTAACACATTTATTGTCAGAATTAAATTTATCATCTAAAATATTTGCAAAAACAATGGATAATGATCTATTTATGCTTATTTGTGAAAGAAAAATGATAAATGAATTGTAAAATAAATTTAATTATGTAAATTTTTCTCATTTTTGATATGAAATACATATTTTTAACCCTGCTATATAATATAGATTACAGATACATAATGCATCTGTTGATAAAGTCAGAAAATTCATGATTAAGATCTATAATTCTAATATATTTTTAAAAGATTTATAATATATATTTGAGTTTTAATCTATTGAATTTCTATTATCACAACTTAATATTAAAACATGCTGGAATTCTACATTTTTAATGATTAATAAAATGATTCAAATAAAAGTTTAAGCAAATATACTTGTAGTATAATATCTAGATAAATTTACAAATATTTGTTTTGATAATATTAATTGAAAAAATTTAAATATAAGTTTAGTAAATAGTAATTAATAAGCAAGTATTAATTATTTAATTTTTTATTCTTAGAAACTTATATTTATTCTTTTACCATTTTATTCTGCTACTTTAACATTTTCATCATTAATATATCTAATAATATTAGATCTTCACTAAATATTTTGGACTTTAATCCAATATTTGTAATATAAAATTTCAAATAATAAAACACAATATTTGGTAACAAATTCTATACTTAACAAATTAAATAACTATTGGAAAATCATTAATAATATAACAATTGTGATAATAATATTAGATCTGTATATTAAATACTTTACTTTTACATTAGGAGAAAATACAAAAGCGATTGATATTATTAAAAAAATGAATGATTATGTCTTAAATAATAATGAAAATATTATATAACTAAATAGACTGTCTCATCAATTTCAAATATTAATAGATTTGACATACATATTTATTTAAAAAGTTTAGTTAAAATGTTTTGTCTAATAATTCAATCTGTTTTAAGTAATGAATTAAATAATATTTATCATTATCTTAAGATAATAATTGTGATTATTTAATATGATGAAATTCTTATCAAAAAACTTTTCCAATTCTTTCAGTAATGGTTAAAGATTATCTTGCTATTTAAGCAACTTTAGTATCTTGAAAACAAGCTTTCTCTATTACTAATTTAATTATTTCTAAGATACAAAATCATTTAAATCTAAAAACAGCCTGTGTTTTATTATGTTTAAAAGCTGGATTTCTGAAAAATTGTGAAGTTAATGAGAACAATCAACTCGATAGTAGTGATATTGATAACGATAAAATAGATGAATAGGTTTAAATTTTAAATGAAGGATTTTATTTTTGTTTTCTTTAATGCTAATAATTATAAAATAAATAAAAAATATAATTGAAAACATTTCAAAAATATTAGGAATTTCTGTGATACTTATATAACATAATTAATAATGATTGTAAATATTTAATGAATTGATTTTGAAACATTTAGAACTTAGTCAATTAAATAGTTCTAAATTCATCAAAATTTAATGATTGAAATAAATCAAAAAAAGTTTAATTAAATAATTTTTATAACTAAAAGGTAATATTTGACCAGTCACCTATTCCTTTAAACTTGTTATAAAAAAATGCAAATAATATCTTTAACTGATTTTAAATATGTTGATAACTTTAAAAACTAAAAAAAAATAAATTTACTTATCACAATCATTCTCAACTGTTAAATAGACTAATATTTTAGGTCACTGCATTGTTTTTTTTTGCATAGTAATCCAATACTGGAAAATTGGCACATGATTTTGTTATATCACTTTTCATACATAAATTGGTTTAACTGGTTTGAACTGCAGTTTGCACTAGCAGTTGGTTTGGTTTGTTATCTAAACTGCCGGTTTAA